AAATTAGTTAAGAGTTAATGTGTATAACTGGTCGATAATAAGCCTTAAAAGAGATTACTATGACAATGATGAAGATTATGGTGATGATGATGTACTGAGAAGGCCTGCTGTTATTTGGAGACCCAGTGAACCATGTTTTACAGTTCTTACCCTTCTGTACTTCTCTTGATTTGATCTGGCCAGGCCCTGGGATGAGCTGTAAACAGTGGGACTGGGTGTGATGGCACTGCCTATAATCTCAACACTCAGAGGTTGGAGGCAGGAGGAGCAGAAATTCAAGGTCATTCTTGGCTATATAGCCATTTAGAAGCCAGCTTGAGCTTCAGGTCTCAAAAACAGAAACATAAAACAAAATAAAGTAAAACAACATTAACAAGTAGAGTGCAATTTAAAGGCTATTATGTCTTTCTGGGTCTAAGAAAAATTAAAATGGCTCTTAAAATTCACCATCTGCACTTGGGGATGCCAACTGCCACATAAGTAAGCTGAGTTACCTTGGGTCATTGGACTCAGAGAAGTCCAGTCCAGGCATATGCAAAGGTCATGGAGAGCAGTTCTCATGTAGCAGTCAGCAACACTTGCAGCCATGTAAGAGAGACCGTTGCTAGCATCTACCCTGCTCTAGGACCTGTGAGCCTGCACAGTTTCTTGTCTTGCGTCTGTATCCAGGCTGGGTCTGAGTTCTAGCTTCCCACACAAGAAACAAATTCAGACAGTGCATAACAGTAATTATAGCAGGACATTTTTCTTTCGGATGCACACATGGAAATAATCTACTGAAAATGATGTATGAGTGTATTGTGTCTAATGAAAATAATGTCCTTAATATAAGAATTGTTTTTTTTTAAATAACTCAAAAGCATCTAAAAGTGCATGGGTTTATCATATACTGTGGTGAAGATAACCTTATGATAAAACATCAAAAAGAACTTAAAATTCTTCTCCATCTTACCATTTTATATTCTTTCCAGCCCCTTTGGAAATCCAGACTTCCATCCTCACGATGTTGTATTACTGTCCAACCTCCCCCATTCACATCCATATTGCAAAATACCTGAGGAATGAAGGAAAGTGGAAATTGCATTTATTTTAAAGAAACATGTAGCTGATATGTTTCAAAATATTAAAAAAGCCTATACGAATAGAAAAAAGCTACAATTCAGACTCATTATTGGTTCCTTCCCCCACAATTTACATTTGAGCTATATCTTGTAAATTCCCTTCAGTGGTGTATTGATTACTTGTAAAACTTTAGATTGATGAACTGAAAATTAACAGCCCCAGTTTCAGACTATAAAACAGTTTTAGAGGTTGGGGTTATAGCTCAGTGATACAGTGCTTACCTTTCTTGTGCAAGGCCTTGGGTTCAATCCCCAGTGTCACCCAGAAAAATAATTTAAACTCTTCATTTCAAATTGAAATAGGCACTTGACTAAGTTTAAATTTAAGAAGTGCTACTAAAGTTCTCAAAATTACAGACCATTTTATGGTCAAAATAGAACATTCAGAATTATTGAACCTTTTATTGACTATCAATGTAATAACAAAGTTTTGTGAAGTGACATATTTCACTATTTCATATTTTCTCACATAAATTCTTATACATAAATGCTTACCTACTATGCTTAAATACTGTAATGATTATTCTTGGTTGCTGAATATTATATTAGAGGCCAAATTTGGTCTTTGGTGAATGGAGAACACATTCTTGGCCTAAATTTAACTTTGAACAACAGGAGAACATGACATAGCATGTGCTGAATGTGATAAGCATTCATTTCCCATGTAGAGTAGTTAGCTGAAGCTTTCAAAGCACACTTATTTTGATTATTATAGATACAACAGTATTTATTTTTAAATGAATTAATTTTCCTCCGTGTTTCTAAAATGGGATTATCTTTAAAGACCAAACACGATGACAGGTGCCATATGAATCTGGAAGGTTGATTATGAAAGGACTGGCTACAGTGAGTACTATTCCACAGTAACTGAACATTAGAGCATGTTGAAGGTTGACAAAATGTGTGGAAATGACACAACAGCAGTAAGCAGCAGCACAGGTGCAGAACAAGCTCTCATGCAAAGGAACCCTCAGTGTTCCTCCTGAGGCATTAAGTTAGAGCACAAAAGCCCAAAGGGTACCAAACAATGGCAAGAGCCATCATTCAAAGGAGAAAATTTTCATGTACTTCTTAGTAAAAGGAGCTAAGACATGCATGCCTGTGTGTATAGGAAATGGGACAACTGTTCTCCTGAGTGCACTCGCTCTCTAACTTGACAAATTACCTACTTCTACCTACCCTCATGTCTTCATCATCCCTTGGAATTGACTCATCCTCATGTACATAAATTTTCTTTCCCATTCCTAAGGTTCACCATGTAGTACTAATCTTTTAACCCTCTTCATCTGCTCTCTGTCCTCAGCAGAACCTCTAGCATGTCTATGCTTAATTATGATATATACATTCATCCTCCTTAATCCCAGTATATTCACTCACTTATTTATTTTTCACCCAATAAGCATTCTTGGGCATTGAGTCTGTATTACAAATGAGGCTAGTCAGATAAATAAGATATGGATTGTGTCCTCAAAACACCTCATAGTTTCAATAGTGACTGCTCCCATCAGAGTAAGAACCAGTGGAGCCCATAACTCTCAACTTTGGTGACCTCAAGAATAACAGAGGCAATGATAGAAATGAAAAGACAAGAAAAAGAGCTAATGTCCTAAAAGAAATAATCATCAGTGTAGATACTGTGCTTGATGTAGGATGACCATCCAGAAGGAGGAGCACCAGGAGCAGTTAGAGAGCAGTTAGAGGTCTACTGGAGACAGACCAAGGGTATATGGGCAAGAAAATAGAGGAATAAGGAAAGAGTAGCCATTGACAATGGCACACTTAATTTGAACACTTTCCATATATGTTGTAACAAACTCAGAACAACCCTATGAAAGTAAGATTACTATTTCCACTAAACAAATAAAACATGATGTTTAGAGTATGTTAATAACATCAATGATTATACATAACAATTAGTACTCGATCTAGGTTCTGAACTGGATTTGGATTGGGTCTTGGATTTGAATCCTGTGTTTGAGTAATTCAACATGATTGGTAATAATGTCCTTGAAAATAGATGTTGTTATCACAAAGATTGTTATTTAAAGAAATAAAGAGAAACTGTTTCTAGATTGGAGAAGAAGGTCCATGAATGGATTTCGGTAAACAACTGGTGCAGGCAAAATACACCAAGAACTTGTATGTGGGTACATGTTCAGTTCCTAGAGTAGCACTTAGCCTATTGCAGTTATTAAATGAATACTCATTGTAGTGAGAAGAAAATTTGATTAAAAGAATACTAAGAAAACTGGGGTTTAATGTGGAGTGGGGGGAAGTAATTAACTTAATCAAATATTTTAGAGAAATCAAGATATATAAACATGAAGAATATACATAAGTGTGTGTGTGTGTTTGTGTGTTTTAAACGAGGAGGTTTTAAATGAGGAGGTTGTTCGTGACCTTAACCAGAGATTCAATGATTCAGACAGAAGAGTTTGAAAAGAGAATAGATGGAGATTAAAAAGTATCCAAGATGGAATGTTCCTAGTATAATTTAATCAAAGAAAGAGAAGTGAAAATGCCCAGGAAACATTTTTCTATGGGAAATTAATGCCACTGCTTTCTGAATTAAATTTTGCACTGCCTAGACAGGTTAATGCAAAGTCTGTCTCTATCTCTTATTTCCTGATGGAAAATTTGCCAACAAAAGTTTATTTTCAAAGCTGTAAATTCATCAACATACTCAAGAAAGGAAACGATACATTTGTAAATTTACAATGTGTGAAGAAAACTATGTTATGAGGTTGTTATTATAATTCTGTATACTTGGTTCTAAAATCACTTACTTTTTTTTTTGCAAAACACCACTTTTATTTCATTTTCCAGAAAATTTTTTTTTTTTTTAATGCAAGTAACTGCAAATAGGAAACCAGAGGGGGAGCCCCAGGCAAAAACAAATTGCATCCTCTCCCCCACAGAACAAGGGGAGAAAGTGGCCTCTACACCCTCGCAGATCAAAATGCCCCCCACCATTCTGCTGCAGCAGCCAAGGGGCAGGGCCCACCTTCCCTGCGGTGGTAGGTAACCCAGCCTGCTGTGCCCCCAGCACCCGTTCCCCTAGACTAGAAGATAGAAGATCGCAAAGGTGATGAGGCTGAATGTTGGCATTACTAGTAGCAACAATGGTAGGTGTGTAAGAATGAATACTGAAAAAAACACAACTGTCCATAGGTAGTTTGTGAACAGAGAAAAGATGAAACAGAACCTTTCAGAGCGGGAGGAGAAGCAGTCAGAGCTAATTCTTTATTAGTGTCTAACTGGAAGAAGGAAAACAGCCCGGAGTAGAAGTGGGGAGTTGAGGGAGCTCCCCAGCCTACTTAGGTGGCCCTGGGGACTCTCTCTGGTAGTGCCTCTGTCTGTCACTGTGCTAGGTACCAGATCCCAGGTGAGGGCAAGGTGGGTGCGCACCCAATACCTGTTCTATTTCTATAGTCCAATATGCTTGCCCAAACTACTGCAGGTGGGGTGGATGTGGCTGAGAGCCCCGCTGGTAATAATTAGGTTGGTGGTTTCTGGAATCTAAGTATCCCCTCCACTAATCTTACCAGGGGTTGTCAGTTCAGCCAATAGGGCTTGTGAGAAAGAGATGAGGCTGGGGCCCCTTAAGGCCAAGGAGTGCTCCCAGGTCCCTCTGCAGTGGAGAGCAGAAGGGGCCCTCAAATACACAGGAGTATCCAATAACTTGTGAATGTTAAGTGTTGAGAATCCATCTTAGATAAAGACTCAGAGAAAGACAGAAGTAAAGAATGCCAGATTGGGCTGCAAAGAGTTAACCTCTGATTCCCGTGAAGACTCAACAGTAACAACAGCTGCCATTGAAGGAATATGGTCACAATAGAGCCAAGCTGATTGGGAGTGAGGCCTGGAGGGCTGGATTGAATGGATTCAAACTTCACCCCCACTTACTATGAAATCTCTTCTGAAAATTAAGAGCACACAGGCCTCTCAGAGTGGTGTTTGACATGTTTCCTATGCAATGCCATTACTCTTACAGCTTGGATTTTATAAACAAAATAACATATATTCATATTATTCATTACCTACTGTATGTATATAACATACTAGTTACTGAAGTGTTGTTATATTTGACATTTTACATGATTTATATTATATACACTTTTTTAGAATGAAATATACAAAACCCAAATATGCAGAAATTCAATAAATTTGCCTTATGTATATAATTCCTAGCTTCCTTTTATTAATACTGACATCATGAATCTTTGATCATGCTACTTTTATTATATATCTATTTAAGACATTGGACTCAGACTTGCAAAAAAAATTAAAACCTGTTATTTCACCTATAGTCATGAGAGAAGTAAAATCAAAAGCCAGTGGCTGACATATGAAGGAAGGTCCAGAGAGTGAGTAAGTGATCAGTTTCAGAGAGATTTGAGACATGAAGAGGTTATTTGCTGGTCTTGTGTGGTCTGTGATCTTGCATGTTCTTAGGGACAGGTCCCCCCTCCAGTTATTATGCCTGTTGAATGTATTGATACTATGACTTGGGCTTTGCTTTATTCAAGAAAAGGTAGAGTTGGCTCCCCTCCCAGGGAGTGTCAAAACTTTCAACCATTAAACAGCTTTTAACATAATACAGAGATTTCAACCCAAACACAAAAGGGAAGTCTGATTCATATAATGCTCCCATGCTTCATATAAATTGAAATGATTAGCCTTGTAGATTTTTGTTCATAATCTTAGATGAAATAGTTTCAACACATATGTAACAAACCTTTTCTAAGAATTAGAGGAAATAAGAGTTCAGAAACAAATTTTTGATATTTTACACTAAGATGATTTAATGGATTTTTTTTTTTTGATGAAACTAAGCTTGCTATAGGGTACTTGTTTTTAGAAATTTGTGAAATGAAAAGAAAAATCCTGTTTCCCACTAGCACAGCTTGAAGGGAGTGCAGAGGGAAATAAC